ATTCTATCTTTTCTCAATCCATGAATTCTCAAAGTGCATCTCCTATCTGGGGATACCTGCCCATTTCTAGACATGGCTGAATAGTCTTCCAACTTGGAGAAGTCGAGATTGGGCTAGAAGATCCCGAAGTCCTTGGAGCACCAGTGTCCTGGTATATATATACTGTATAGCAAGTTACTCTAAGATCCTGTTGCTAAGTTGCCTCAGTCCTGTCCATGAGGCCAGTCAGCTCCCCTGCTTGGCTATGATGCTGTGTCATCACCGTGCAATCTGTGCAGTTGACCCAAGCTGCTGTTCTGAGCACCGCCCTCCCCAGCAGTTCTAACAGATGGGTCTATTTCTGGAGAAGCAGTTCTTGCAGGAGGCATTCTGCTCAAAATTAGTGGGTTAGGAATTAAGTCAGCAGAGAGACTGGCAACAAGCTTATTCGTGCGGGCTTTACGAGTTTGTTTTCTTTTTGGAGCAGTCATTCACAATTTAAAGTGATTCATTGCTTTTTGGTTCGGAAAGATCGAAAATGCAGAGTGGAGCAAATGATTAATTCATTGTTTACTACTGTACAACCATTGCTGAGGCACCTGATGTTAATTCAGTGCTTTCTTCACTGACTTCACATTCTCCCCAACACACAGGGAAAACTGTTCATGGTCAAGACACTTGTGAAGGAAAAGAGGAAGGGCTGAAGTGAGTAATTGCCCCTGGGGTGTTGCCGAAGTTCTGAAATGTGGAGTCCTGAGTCAGGTTTCCTTATATGCCCCCAATTTCTGCTACTCTCACTGCTATGCTCGCCCCATACATTTTAGAAGGGCCTCTCAATGCATATCAAAATGAGCACGGGGTGGCTGGGGGGTCCAGAGTGGTCCCGAGCTACTGTGGCAGGGGCATAGTCAATGAGGAGCTTGCTGCCACCTCCATCCTGACCCTCCTTTCTATGCTTCTCAGATTTCCCATTCAGGTGGTTGCCAAATGGGTCAAGAAAAAAAAAAATAAAGCAAAGTATTAGCAGCTACCATTTTATAGTTTCTCACTTGTCTTCTCAAATAATCTTTGTAACAGTCACATCAATAATGGTGCCACCATAAGTACTGAGTATGTATGGTGCTTAAAAAAAATAATGGTGCCACCACTGTCTATATCTTACCTAGGAAGGAACTGAGGGTGAGAGAGGCCAAGTGAGTTGCTTAAAGGTCACATAAGTACTGGAGCTGGCATGCCAATTTCAGAATGCACAGAACCCAGAATCTGACAGAGTCACCAGTAATTACTTGTTAGTATTTCTGGATTTTCTAGGAGTCTCATGGAATTGATGGTTAACGCTCAGCCTTCCTTAAAATTCATTTTCTACCAGGGACACCCTGGAGTGGCTGTATTTAGGGTCACTGCATCACCTTGTGGTCATGATGGGAACTGCACTTCCCCAAAGTCAGAGTCCTGTGTTCACACAACTGGGGTTTTCTCTGAGCTTAGTTTTGTCCATCGTCTGTCTTGAAATCCCAGAGGAAAAACTTCTGCTAGAACTGGGCTTGACAGCTGACCTCCAGAATCAGGAGAGAGAAGCCTTTCCCTTTCCCTCTCACATTCTCATCTACCTCGGCTGCAGGTTCCTAAGAGCGATGGATGCTTCATGTAGGAAGTGAGCTCTCCAGGAGACAGCCTGCCTCCTACCTCTGCTTTCAGTTTCTTCCTGAACCTTCTGCCCCTGCTCCTGCCCTGCCCCGTAATGTTGTCTGTAGCTATGTCTGATTAGTTTCTCTTCTTGTTATTCTCCTCTGTGGGCAGAGAGAAATGTGAATACTTTGAATTAACTTGCCTAAAGAGTTTCTTCTTCGCTCTTTCAACTAATATGACCTTCTCTCTGCCATGTCATAAGCTACACAACCTTAGATAATTCACATAACCTCAGTGAGCCTCTTCTGAAAAATGGGGATAGGAATATGGATTTTCATGATGATTACATGAAAAGCTGCATTTAAAAGCATTTGGTAAACTGGAAGTATGCAAATATAGTGACCATCAGCAAGTATTTCTTCCCTACTACTGGTAAGAGACAAAGCCTTGTCTATGCAATGCACCTTACACTCTCATCTCTCCGTAATTGGAGCACAGATCTTCATAAGAGGTGGAAGTGGGCATCTATGTGTGGGAGAAGAGGTAAGAGAGTTTCCACCAAGAGCAAGAAGGTCAGGATCACTGTTGCATTGTATCTATCAAAAACTTATCACACTCTAGTATTAATGATCACATTTTATCTTCAGGATTGTCCTGAGCGAGATATAATAATACCTGGTTGCCTATTCTGCAGATGAAGCAGCTCAAGATCAGAGCAGTAAAAAGATTTTCTTAGGTTCTCAGGGTAGCAGAGTTGAATTGAAAACATGGAGTTTTGATTTCCAATTAGGGCACCTTAATTTATCACATGTCATACTGTCTCTTCATACTCTAACGTAGAACAGAGGCTTCCAAAATTTTTTGATAATGAGCCACAATAAGAAATACATTTTGCACACTACATATTCACTCACACGTACACAACCAAAACAAAACATGAAGGAACAATACTTACCCTTATCTCGTACAGTGCACTTCATTCTGTCCTATTAATTAAAGAGGGCTGTTCACAACTCATTAAATTCACTGATGGCCCACTAGTGGATTGAGACTTGCATTTTGGAAAACACTGATCTAGAAGGTTCTCTAACAGTCCTGACAGAATACGTGACTATCACAATTGCCCATGGTTTCAAAAGGATATTACGAATCTAAGGGAATGGAGAGGAAAAATAAGATGAACTTGAGAAGTTCTACCAACTGGACCATAATGTCTGATTTAAGCAAATTAACTCAACTTTAGAAATATTTTGAAACATGATTTAAAAAGACTCTAAAATAACTGTATTTTGGTTACTATGTTCTACCATGTCATGAACACAACACTTATCCCTCAATTATTATGCCTCATTACACATCAATCTCCATCCAACCCACTTTCCACACCTTGAAGGAAGGAATTGTGTTTTATTCTCAGGGCAATAAGCATTTTGCCTGATGGGCACTCAGTAAATATTGATTCACTTAATAAATAAAAACTGAACAGCAACAGTCTTGCTTTCTTATTGTTTACTCAAAGGAACTTTACGTTCAACCTGGCCTATGTAGGAGTCATGCACTAAAAATGAGTATTCATCATACTGGTATTACCCTTGGGAAATTCAGAGTCCGAATAGAGGAAGAAATAATGAAAGAAGGATAAATACAGTGCTTATTCATTCATTCATTCCTACTAGCTCCAGCTCTTGTGAGTAGACCTGTGCCCTTCAAGTAAATGCTTCTTTTTTCTTCCTTTGGTGATTAGCCTATTTCTTAGTTTAGTTAAACCCCGCAGACCTTTGATGAATGTAACTAATGCAACCTAATTGTAATATAAGAGTGTGATTTTTAGTTCAATTGCTACATTAGAAATGCAAGGCTGTGACAAGCTTTCATCAATGTACCTTACAAGCACTGAGGTTCCCTGTGTGGCGTCCTCGCCACAACACTGGGCCACACTTGGTGAGAGTCAGGACTACACATTCAGATAACCCCAGAGAGAAAGTCTGTGCAGCCTGAAGCAACAGGACGAGACTTCACACACTGGCAGTATACACTCATACAAGTGCCAGCCTTTCTCCTTGATTGGGCAAGCGAAGACCCAGTGTCCCTGGGGACCCACAGGATGCTAGAACAACTCCAGCCTTCCTTCAGGATGAACTGACGTGAAATAACAACTCTTCAGGTCACTGTCTCTGGGAAGGGCAGGGAACTGATTACATTAATGTCCTCTGTGGGCAAAAAACGTTGGCCCTTATTCCCACGGACACAGCCAGGGAGAGAGCAGCTGCCCGACCTGCACTCTGCCACCCATGCTGAGTGACGCTGAGAGACGCAGGGAGGGAAGGGGCTGGATCAATGCCATCTCTTTGTTTTACTCCTTACAATGAACTGGGGGAGAAAAAAGGTTGCACTGCAGTCCTTAGGCCTTTGTGTGGATTTTTTGTTTGTGAACAGTCATTAATGATGAGGGTACCCATACAAAATTTAAAAACTAGTATGTAAAGGGACAGTTTTATATGTACATGGTGATTTTTAAAATAATGCCAAAATGTCTTCTAGATTTAGTGGCAATATTGCTTTACTGTATGAAATAAAAATGTTCTTGAAAAATTGCCAATGACATACTAATTTAAATATACCTGAATTAATAAGAGAATGAAAAGAATATGAGCTTTAGGGTTAGGCAGATCTGGGTTTGCTCTTGTCACCACTCCGGCCCTTTCTAATCTGTCTGTTAAGGGCTAGTTAAATGTATACTGTCTCTGACCTTCAATTTGCCCACATCAAGATGGAAATATAATACTGCACAGGACTGCTGGGAGGATTAAATAAAAGTGCAGTAAGTTAATTTATTAAATCAATTAATTAGCTGTCTCTTTTATTTAGTAAATATAATTTTCTGTACGTAAGTACAGGCATGCTTGTCAACTTTCATGTATATTTTACAGATGGTTATGTAAAAATGAGACACAAGATACTCTCCTCAATAACCCTTTAGGATTGACTGAAGGAGAAAAGAGCAAAAGGTATTAACTGCATTTTACATACCAAAAAATAAGCCCCAGAAAGAGAGTGAGTTAATACCAAACCAAGTCCTCCAGTCCAAATTTTTAACTTCCAAACCCTGGAAGTTAAACGTCTTAGGTTAGCAATGTTTAACCAGAGGATGGGGCAGAGGGTGTGCACTTTGAGAAAACATGTCAATATTTTAGTTGTTTTTAAATGTCTTCAATCATGACAGTTTATCTTGAAATTCCAAGGCACACTAAAGGGGAGCCAAGACAGCTTCTGTTTACGGAAAGGGGGCGTGGGTCTCAGGGGCCCTCACTAAGCTCACACAGGCCCTTCCAAGGGAACAGGAAAACCTCCGCGCACCTGGAAACAGAAAACGGGGAGGCTGCCACACCAACCTTTCTCTTCCTGGGGATGGGCTCGTCGAAGAGCAGGTTGCTGGCCTCCGACTCGTCGATGCCATCGTCCGGCTGCACTGGGCTGCGGAAGGGCTTGAAGCTGTCGGCCGACAGCGGCGGCGACGGCGTGGACGGGTTGGACTGGTCGCTGGGGGCGCTCCAGCTCCAGTAGCCGCTGCTGCTGGTGCTGGAAGGCACGCAGCCGCCCTCCTTCCAGGATCCGCTGAGGCCCTCTGCGCGGGACACAAGGGGAACACGGGGAAACCGGGCCTCGAAGCGGCTCCAGTGAAACCACCGCAGCCCACTCAATAATTTGCAGCAGAGGGATAAGTATTTGTTCTATTTATATACCCCCCCTCCCAAAAGTCACATCATGGTTTATAAACATTTAGTTATTTTAACCACATGATAATAGGTTTTTCTTAGGGTTTTCTGATGTGCGTTGTACTGTGCAACACTAGTTCCTTGGAATAAGTAAGGGAAAAAAAACAGAGCTTCTTGTTCACCAAGTTTGAGGAGCTCTAGGTCACAACTACCATATTTCTAAGAGAGGGATACCTTTTACAGTATTTTTCCAAATTGGCCACAAAGTTCCTCTCACCTCCTACCCCTCCAATTTTAACTTTTTTTAAAAAGGGAATTTATTTATTTTCTTTCTTTCCTTCCTTTCCTTTTTTTTTTTGAGACAGACATATAATCTGTTGCTCAGGCTTAGAGTGCTATGGTGTCAGCCTCCCTCACAGCAACCTCAAATCCCTGGGCTCAAGTGATCCTCCTTTCTCAGCCTCCCAAGTCCAAGTAGTTGGGACTACCGGTGCTTGATAGGACTCCCCACTAATTTTTCTATTTTTAGTAGACATTGGGTCTAGCTCTTGCTCAGGTTGGTCTCAAACTCCTGAGCTCAAGAGATCCTCCTGCCTCACTCCACTGGAGTGCTAGGATTAGCCAAAAGGAATTAAGACTGTAATTCTTGGAGTACACTTACAGGAATTTAGTCTAGGATTTAAGAATCTGGTTCAGCGCCTGTGGCTCAAGTGGCTAAGGTGCCAGCCACATACACCTAAGGTGGTGGGTTCGAATCCAGCCAGGGCCCGCCAAACAACAATGATGGCTACAACCAAAAAAAAAATAGCCAGGCGTTGTGGTGGGTGCCTGTGGTCCCAGCTACTTGGGAGATGGAGGCAGAAGACTTGCTTGGGCCCAGGAGTTGGAGGTTGCTGTGAGCTATGATGCCACCATACTCTACCCAGGGGGACAGCTTGAGGCTCAAAAAAAAAAAAAAAAAGAATCTAACAGAAATAATTTCTAGATAGTTATCTAAAACCATTTCCCATACTGCTTATTATAACAAATAATAGTGCCTGACATTTTATGAGTGTTTTATATTTGATAAAGCATATTTGCATGATCTCAGGCATTCTCACATTTATCTTTCAGAGTAAGGACTGTTATCCCCATTTTACAGACAAGGACCCTGAGGCAGCAGGAAGTAACTTGCCAAGCGACCAGGAGGTGGGCCCCAGGCCTCAGCTGGCCTTCAGTGCATGCAGCCCTGGGCTGTGAACATCCTCCATTCTCTCTGGCAAAGCTGGGTTAGGATAAGAATTTATTGGTAATAATTACTGATAATATTGGTGTTAGATTTTACCTTTCCACTTGTGGTGAAAAACATTATGAAATGTTTGCTAATGTAGGGAGATTTTTGCCTAGTTAGAATATTTTCTGGGTATTCTTTTACTCACTGAAGATATGCTTTACCTTTCAATATGCACAATCTTAATTAGCATTTATATAAATTCTACTTTTTCCTTGGATAATTTCTTCTCTATATTTAGGAGCATTTTGAATAGATCAAAACTATAGTTTAACTACAAGGAGAGGGGAAAAAATCCCCAATGCCTCATTAAAAAAAATACTAACATCTGTATAATTATTAGTAATGAAGACAAATGGTAGAATAGAATTCATGGAGAAATTTTTTACCTGTCTTCACCTAATTATAGATTTCCAGCATATTCCTCAACTATGTCAAGCAAAAAGTTAAATGAGAGGAGTGAATTTTTAAGTTGAAATAGGAGAAGCAAGCAACCCCTCTCATTACAGCAAGGTTCTTTTAGAATCAAATGGTCATTATGCAGGCACAGGCCTTGCCAGCATCAACAAAGCCAAGTTAGCATCTCACTCCTTGCAGTCTAGAGAGATTGATGGGCTCACTGGCCAGAGTCGGCCTATTACAAACAAGAAAGCTCCATCCAACACAGTGGGACTTCAAGAGGACCCTAATGTAAGGCCTTAGGTGATATTACCTGCCTGAAAAACTCACTTGGCAGGCCCAGGTGGCTTATAAATAGACTGCAACATGCACTTGTAAAATAAAGTTCATGGTACTAGACACATAATCATGTTAAGGATGAGGAACTGAATTTATTTTGAGAACCAACTATTATTACAGTGTGGTTATATGGCTCCATGTCAATGCCAAAAGTTAATCTGCTTCCTGACTTATGAATGACATTTCTTCTAGAAACACTATGTAATCAGAGGGACCATAAGATATAAAAATAAATTTCTCAGAAAAAAGTCAGGACCAATTCATAATATTCTCAGGGGAAAGAGTTTCCTTATATTAAAGCGAGTATTTGCCCAGAATGCAGATAGACACTGGTGACACAGAAAAGGATAACAGCAGTTACCCAAAATTAACTGATTACAATAATTCAAGAGAAAATCCTTTTTTTTTTTTTTTTTGAGACAGTCTTACTTTGTCGCCCTTGGTAGAGTACCGTGACATCATAGCCCACAGGAACCTCCAGCTTTTGGGTTTAGGTGATTCTCTTGCCTCAGCCTCCCGAGTAGCTGGGACTATAGGTGACTGCCACAATGCCCGGCTAATTTTTTTTTTTTTTGGCCGGGGCTGGGTTTGAACCCACCACCTCCAGCATATGGGGCCAGCACCCTACTCCTTTGAACCACAGGGACCGCCCACACCTGGCTAGATTTTGTTGCAGTTTGGCTGGGGCCAGATTCAAACCTGCCCTTGTTATATGGGGTCGGTGCCTTACTCACTGAGCCACAGGTGCCACCCCAAGAGAAAATCTTTTATTCCTAAAAAATAAAAAGCCTTCATTAACATAAATCACTCTCCCTACCTAAGAATTTGCTTCCTGTTACAGATTCAGTGAGAGACAGCAGACAATTTGAGGTTATTAGTTGAGTAGTTGTTTTTTAAACCATAAATGAATACTGGATTATTTTATTACTATGCTAATAAAAGTTTGCACTGAAGAACCAAAAGGCTTATTTTAATTCTAACCTTTAAATACAAAGGAACACTAAAAAGTTCTCAATGTGAAAAAGAAACCAATGACAAAAATAATAATTAAAAATTTACTTTTTTTTCCCTTTAAGGATCCATGGAATTTCTGCAACTCCTTTTCCCTAGCATATGTTTTAGGGGGGTACCTTCAGTTTTGCTTTTACTGTAAGCCTTTAGCAAAGTTGCCAAGCTGAGAAAGGTGAATCAGAACACCAAGAATCCAAGAGGCCCCGGAAGAGAGGTTAGGTCATTGAACAGGAGGGGTCAGGGTCATCTCAAGAGCTCTGGCTTTTGGCGGGACAGTCCCAATTTTTAACAATTTGTCCCGCATCCCTCAGCGTTTTTAAAAAGTCCCTATTTTTGGAAAGAATGCATGACAAGCTAGGGAACAGCAGAAGAATGGGAAGGGAATATACGGGCTGCTGAAAAGATTCATGTAACTCCATTTGGGAATGAAGAGGTTAATGTAACTTCATTTGGAAATGAAAAGGCTAATGTAAACTCCCTACTCCCCTCCTGGGCAAGGTTATCAGAAGGAGACTGGCTCCCTCCCTTGCTTTTAGGCAAGGACAATTAGCTCAGAAGGAGCCAAACTGTCTGGAAGAAACAAGTAGCCCCCCCTTCTCTAGAGTAAGGTGACCAGACGTCCCGCTTTTGGCAGGACAGTCCTGATTTTTAACTATTTGTCCTGCATCCTATGGCATTTTTAAAAAGCCCCAATTTTTGGAAAGAATACACGACAAGCTAGGGAACACGGGCGAACAGGAAGGGAATATATGGTTTTCGGCTGCCATGTGGCTATATTGCCAGGATATGCGTTTTATATTATTTTTGTTAATTTTATAATGTTAAACTTTAATAATAACAAATAATTGTTGAGAACTGATTATCAAGAACTGCTTATCAAAGTCTGCATTGTTGTCAGCCCCCCCCCCCATGGTGTCCCGCTTTACCAATGTTAAAATCTGGTCACCTTACGGTAAGTCTCACTCTTAGTTCATTACATCTGAGTAAACTGCAATCTGGCTTCCTCTCATGGGGAGTCCTTTGTGAATGTTCTTGCCAAAGCTACAAGTGACCTTTTTTGATGCAAAATTCACTCCTTTTCATGCATGACCTTCTGAAGCATCAGATACTTCTTGAAACATACTTTCCCCTGGGTGTCCATGAAACAACCCTCTTTTAGTTTTCTTCTGCCTATCCCTTACATGATGGTGAGCATCACTGCTGCCCTCGTGGTCATCTTGCCTTCTACACAACTTTCTCAGGGTGATCTCATCCACTCTCGCAGCTTCAAAACACTGCCCTCCAATTCTGTACTGTCAGTCCAGATCTCTCCCAGGCTGCATGCCAATCTCTACCAGAGGTTGCTCCTTGAATGATCATCTGGAACTGCCTACCAAACATGTTTTTAACTGGCCCTATTGTCTTCTTCAGCAACCCCACCTCTTGCCCCAAACATTCACCAGTAATTTATTCCGGTGCCTTTGTGTCCTGTTTCAGGCAATGGTATCCCCCTTGCTGAAGTCACCCTTGACACATCCTCTCTTTCCTTTCATCCCCCAGTCCTGTTGATTGTACCTTCTTCACATTTCTTAGTCAAGCCCCATTCACCTGCACAGTGACCATCAATGCTTTGTCTTTGTTGTTGTTGGTAAACCTAATCACAACTTTCCAGTGCCAGTGTCACTTTAATAGTTCTCCCACAGCCTCAGAATCAAGTTCAAACTGCTAGACAGGCAAACATAACCCCTCCTGATCTCCTGCCAGTCTAACTGCATCTCCAACAACCTGTCCTTCTGCCTCATCATACTGGATTATATGAGGTCATATTACATCAGCATTAAGAGAGCAGATCTGGAATGAGAAAGACCTACCATTTACAAGCCAATTAATCTCTATGAATCTCAGTTTACTCATCTGTAAAACAGGGATAATAACATCTCCTGGAGTTGTGGGAATTGCAAGAGATAACACTAACATAGTACTTGGCACACAGTAAGTGTTCAATTAGCGCTAGCCATCACCATGGCTATGACTGACACTGTTTTTTTCCTATACCAATTGTACCCTACCTGTGAGTGTGGATATTGTTTTTCAGTGTTGTATTCAAATTGCCTAGCATGGTACCTAATAATCATACATTGAATGAATGGACTAAATAATTCTCTTTGATTAGGGAATCTGGGATAATTCTTTTATTAATAAAAATATTAAATTTTCTGAGAATTCTTTGATCCAACTACCCTTCCAGTCAAACATAAATAATGCTAGAGAAAGTGACTTCATTAGATCTGAATCTCCATTTACCTGGAAAAAAAGGATTGTAGTACTGCAAATGTGTTCTAGAAAGAAAGAAAACAAGTAATGAAACAAAAAAAAAATATGACTTGAATGAATGGATGTAGAAATAAGATGCAGCAGGCTCTTAGAGACGATGAGGAGGCTGGTAGTTCTGGGATCTCCATCTCTTCCCCTTGCTTCCTGCTAGTAGGTGGGGGTTAACTTTTCATTGTGCTTGGCAGGAATGCAGCTCCTCAAAGAGAGGCCCTGCTCTTGGTATCAAGGAACCTTTCTAAAGCCCCGCATCCCAGACCTACCATTCGGCCGCACAGGAGGGCTTCGAACCAAAGGGCTGGTCGACAAACTGGTTAGTACCATCGCTGCTGTCACCTTGTCCATGTCCAGTTCCTCTGAAGATTTCCTGTAAAACAGGAAGAATAATTGGTAACTGTGTTCACTCTGCACGCGCTGTGGGCTAAGCAAAGTTTGCTCCTTTAACTCATCCCATGAACATCCAATGCTCTGTTAGATTTATTTTACAGATGAGGAAGCTGAAGTCCGAGAGGTTAAATGATCTAGTCAAAGTCGTGCAGTATTAGCAAGACAAGGATTCGTCCGTCCATCATTCATCTAACATGTACTCAGCAGAGTGTGCTAATGGGCCAGACTCCGTTCAAGGCATAAGGGATACATGGTGAGCAGCAAAGTTCCTGCCTTTGTGGAGCTTAGAGGCTGGTGGGAAGAAACACAATTCTCAGTGAACAAACAAGCCAAGTGGAAGAAAATCATTTCTGATAGTGACAAGTGCTAGGAAGGGCATGAACAGGTTGATATGGCAGTGAGGGGGTGGGGGTGGGGGTGCTGCACTTGAGGCAGTCAGGACACGCTTCTCCAAGGTGGAGTGTGAGAGTCAGTCCCAAGGGGGTGAGGGAGTGAGCTCCCCAAAGTGCAGTGGCCTGAGCCAAGGGGAGGTGGCAGCGAAGCATGCGTGTGTCTGAAGGCCGATCCAAGAGTGTACAAAGGGGAAAGCCATGTAGGACAGCTTGTACCAGGTCCTGGGACCATAAACGGTGTTTTGACTTTATTCTAAGTGCAATGAGAAGTCACTGGAAGGCTTTAAGCAGGCCTAGTGAAGTAACAGGATTAACATTTCTAACATAATTACCTGGGTTGCTACATGGAGAATGGATTTTAGGGAAGACAGACTAGGAGAGGCCAGTTAGGAGGTGATTTTTAGGGTCCAGGCAAGAGAAATCAGTGGTTCGCACTGAGGTGGGGCCAGTGGCAGGTGACCATGCACTGAGTGTGGGAGGAGGGCAGGGGGGTGGCTCTGGGTGTTGGCTGGAGCACTAACAGCGCCATTTACTGAGGTAGGTGAGACTGGATGATGTATGCAACTAGGGGTGTTTAAACTCCACTGGTTTTTTAAGTTTGGTTTGGTTGTACTACTACACTCTGCTACATAGGTACCGTGGTACCATGCCAACAGTATGTACCATGTTGTTCAGTGAAGAGATACGGGTAATATTCATTGAGATAAAGACGTTGCACTGGTTTATTAATTTTGGCTAAGTTGGCCCTGAACAAAAGTTCATAAAATAATGATCATGGTGACTGGAGTCAGCTTGTTTTAAGATTACTTTAATAAAGAACTTAACATTGAGAGGAAAAAATGTATGTGGTACACTGACATCAAATAAATTGTACCACCTCCTGTGAGATGAACATTTTCAAATTAGAGAACAGTTGAAGAAGCACAACAGAGGATTAATACGCCATATCCACAGATGAATTGTCACTCTGACAACGGGGCTTTCATTCGCAGGTGTGCTGAATAATTTGTAAAAGCAGTGAACTTTCAGGGATGGAAATTTCACAGTGTTGCTTCATAATACAATGGGAAAAGCAATTCTTAAATTGAAGAAAGATCAAAAGGTTCCAAATTTTCTTTCTTGGGGGGGGGGGCGCTGCTCAACTAACTTCATCATCAAGTTACAAAAACTATTGTAGCTCATCACCATGATACTACATTATGAAGCAAAGCTTATTCTTTCAATCCATGGTACAAAAGGATGGAGATCTATGACATTTTCTTCTGTAATTCTTCTCAAAAGTCATTATGCTCTTTCTCAGCAAATTTCAAATTTTTCCATCAAAAGACAAATTACTTGTTTCAGAGCTTAACAATTAAAATGTATCTATAAAGCATTCTTGAGAGTGTACAGTGAAATTCACTACGGAAGTTTTTAAGATACTTTCATACAGGTAGGGGGAAAAACTGCTCATTCATTTGGCATATCATTTAGAGATTTTACAATGTTCACATTTATAAGAACTCTGCCTTTGGGAATTGAGGTGATGCCAGTTTATTACAGAAACGAAGCTTCTTAAAACAGTACCGGGAAAGAATGTAAAGTGCCATCAGGTTACTTAGAGTATTTTGTTTGTTTGGTCTCCCTGTGTACTGACAGTCACAAGGGAAGGGATAAGACGTGGGCCTTGAAGGAGCAAGGCTTGCTGTATATCCTTCTAACAGACCCTGGAGCCCGCATGCCTGGTTCAGGGGAATGACATGACTTTGTAGAAGGTCCCCTCGCCCTTCCTTTGATTCCTAAAATGACCCACATTAAGTATGTCTCTTTCATCTGCTACATCTTGGTTTCAGGGATCTTTTTTTTTGAGACAGAGCCTCAAGCTGTCGCCCCAGGTAGACTGCCGTAGCGTCACAGCTCACAGCAACCTCCAACTCCTGGGCTTAAGCGATTCTCTTGCCTCACCCTCCCAAGTAGCTGGGACCACAGGTGCCCACCACAACGCCCAGCTATTTTTTGGTTGTAGTTGCCATTGTTGTTTGGCAGGCCCAGGCTGGATTTGAACTCGCTATCTTTGGTGTATGTGGCTGGCGCCTTAGCCGCTTAAGCTACAGGCGTTGAGCCTCAGGGATCTTCTTGTTCCTCCCTCAATCTGCTTTGTGTCTTCTTTGATCTTCCAAACCTAAGGTGAACATTTTATTTTTGATACCTAATTGATGATTAACTCAAATACCACCTTATGGGTTTTTTAAATATGACAATCAGTAGGAAATGCGTTATAAAGTATGCATTTTTTCTGGATTGCCAAGATTCACTGCTATGTTTCAAAATAATTATTGACCATCATAAAGAGATTTGCAAAGAAGAATGAAAAGAGGAATAAACATGAGTATAATCAGTGTGTCTTTGGATTTGGATATCCTTTAAGTTTCCCATTGGCATTAGAAGTCATTAACAACAATGATGACAACAAAGTCAAAGGAAGAGATGACTACTGACGCGGTTAACCTGTGTTTCTCGGGGAGTGTTGTAATCATGCTACATGCAGTGTTACCAGATGATATGGCCTTGTGCTCAGTTGTGTTTTTGTTTTTATGTTTGTTTAATTTCTTTTGCTACAGTACTATCTAATTACTGATTAATTGGTGCTGCAAATTCGAATCCTTATAATTAAACATCAGATGATATACGAAGTAGAATTTGTTACTTTGAGAAAACCACAGCAAAGGCCTTCTGGTAGATTTAGCGTTGCTGAGAAAAAACACAAACCACTAGAGGTGATATTAAATATTCTCTCCTACTTTGAAACTGAATTTGAATCTACTCTTGAAAACTTACCAATCATATGTTTACTAAAGGATGAGACTTTTTCTTTTTTTTTTTTTTTTTTT